CCTGGAGGTAATAGGGCAACGGCCAGTGGCAGGACTTGCTTTCTGTTTCCTGAGGAGCCCTCCATTCTATACCCGCCCTACCCATCTCCTGTCCTTTGGCTGCAAGGCTGCTCCTTGCTGGGCTCACAGCTCCCCACGAAACTTAAAGGATCCCACAGACACCCCCAAGTTCTGCAGGGAACCAACCTCTGGAAAATAGATGGCACCACAAGGGAGAAAGCAGTTACGGCGTTTGCAACCCTGCCCTGTCTCACCGTGACTGGGAGAAGTCACTGCCCCCTTGGGTCTTAGTTTGCCTATCTGTTCAATGGGCTTTAAACCCTGAGTGGGAGGCTACCCCATCTGGAAGCAGGACATTGAGGCCCCTGACTCCACAGTGCCCCAGTACACTGGGTGATGCAGTCTCTGCCCTTTGGGGGCCTCAGTTTCTCCATAGGAGCAATAGGTTGGTAAGTATAGTAGGCTCAGGTTCAAATACCAGCCCCACTACTAATACGCTCTGCTCTTAGGACTTGAAACTTGTACCTTAGTTTCCATGTCTGCAAAACCGATAAAAGGACCTGCAGTGGTGCAGGGAGAGACGGCAAGGCTGTCCGTTCCAGGCGCTGATGAACTGGTCCACACTGCATGCTCAAGCTGCCATTCTGGGCTGGGCCCTTTATCTGGACCTGTCTCAAACCCTCCGTACCAGGCAGCCCTGCCAGATTTGGGGCTCAGGGCCCATTCAATGGAAGAAGAGACTGAAGGTTCAGAGGGTCCCTGTGGCCAGCCAAGGGTCAGGACAGAACCCTAGCCCAACCCACTGTGGCCTCTCCCCCATAGACCGACCACCGGTCCCAGTTGCCTGGCTTCCCTGTAAAACGCTGGGCTCCTGCAACCCTGGCCATTCTCTGCACCTCAGCCAAGAATCGGGCAAGACAGCTGAGCACCTGGGGGGACACGCTGCCCACCCCCCCGGCCTTCTCTGGCATTTTGATGCACTTGATCAGCCCTTTATGTCCAAGTGGCCTGGGGAATTCTCCCAGCTGTGCGATGGCCACCTCTCATGAGAAGGAAATGGAGGCTCATGGAGGTGACGGGGACTGGAAGGCAGACCCACTGAAGCCCCAGAGACAGGCAGGCTGGGCCTGTCTCAGAAAAGGGCTGTGGGGGCAAAGCCCCCAGGGTGAGCAGAGCCAGGTGGCACCATGGAGATTGGGGGCTTGGACCCCCACATCCCAGAAATGGGCAGCTGGTTCATGGACCTGCTGTGAGACCCTGGGTAAGAGATGTCCCTCCTCTGAGTGGTCCTAAAAGGTGGTGGGAATGCCAGGTGGCAGCTAAAGGGAGGCTTCAGGTGAGCTCCAGCTCCGGGGGCTGGAGGCCTTGGGGCTGGGGGGAGTATACAGTGGGCATGGTGCCTGCCCTCCACCCTGTCTGGGAATCGGCTTTCTTTCTCCTTCTCAGGACTTTGTTTCCTTAACCCCGGGTGGGGCCGAGGGGGGAGGGGTGCACTGCCTCCTCTGGGTGGGGCCCTGTCCCCTGGCAACCTGTGGGCAGGGCAGCGCCGCCAGAGTGGAGCCGAGGCAGGAAGGCTACGGGGGGCCAGGAGCTGGCAGGTGAGGCCGGGGGGGCCTGAGGGAGCAGGATGCATGCAAAGCTGTGGGGGGTGGGGTCCTGCATGGGGTGGGGTCTGTTTTTGGCAGGGGGATTCTTGTGTCAGGTGGCATCAACAGCTCACTAGTGGGGCCCTTGGGTGGCAGGGAGGGAGACACCTCATCGCCGCCCCATGTCCACCTGGACCCAGCTGGGGTGTCAGGGCCGGTGGGAGTCTCCCATTGCTCCGCACTTCCATTGCTCTGAGGCCCTGAGGTCTGTGTCCTTCCTGCCCTCCCCGCCCGTGGCCTCGGAAGCAAAAGGTCCGTCCCGAACCTTGCCAGGGCCTCAGTCTCCACCCTGGGCTTCTGGCCCCAAACCCAAGAACTTTGAGCCCTGACCCTCCAAGAAAGGGGCCTGATCGGCACCATGGCCAGAGGCCAGAGAGCACCCCCAACCCCGCCCCATGGGTTCTGGGAATCCTGGAGGTTGCTGGGGAGGCGCTTAGCACCAGCCAAAGCCTTGCTTGGCGAGCAGCATACAATACCCTCATGGGGCCCAGAGCTTGGTGGGGGCACTCGGAGGAGGGGGGAGGGGGGCAGTCAGCATGTGCCATGCCAGCGCAGAGGCTCTGTCCAGTGGGAGGCACCGAGATTCGGTCCAATGTCCAGGTGTGTCAAAGGGTCAGGGGCTCTGCCCAGCCAGGGGCCTAGGGGACTGTGGCCCTGAGTGAGGGTAGAGGAGCCCCTGGAGCCCCTCCCTGCTGTGTGATCTTCCCTGTCTGAGCCTCGGCCCCTCCAGCAGGCCTTTGCCCTGATGGCAGAAGGCCAGTTTCAGTGTGAGGAAGTAGATGTGTGGCACCAGGGGCCATAAACCTAGTTCCAGTTTGGTATTGACATGGATATGAGGTGGGACTGGGGAGGAGCAATCCAGGGGGGCTTCCTGAAGAAGGTGGCAACCAATTGGGCGTAAGGGTTTGAGCTTTAGGACCTGTTGCTCTGTCACTCTTGTGTGACCTCAGTTGAGCAATTTCCCCTCTCTGGGCCTCTGCTGTAGATTGGGGACAAGAATCACAGGATCTTATGAGGAGCAAATAAGATAAGGATTGAACTGAGACTTGCCCGAGGCCAGAGATGAGAGGGGCCCTGGGACTTTGAACCCAAGACTCAGCCTGAGCCCCATGCCTTATTGTCCTCAGTGAATCACCTGAGAGGAATGGGCCGAGGAGGAAGTGGTGCCCCCCACCCTTGCCCCACCTGATGGAGAGACCCAACACCCTCTGGCAGGCAGGTCTTTTTCCCAGGAGTTAGTGTCCCCTGTGGGTTGTAAATCCTGGTGAGTGATCATCCAGCTACTCATTCAGCAAACACTCCTGTGTCACTCCTGTTTCACCCCTGCCACACCTGCTGGTGGAGCCCCAGGGCATGGGGACAGCGCCAACGCAGAGGGGAGGCTGTGGTCTGGAGGAGAGCCGCAGGGGGGCAGCCAGGCCTGAAGCTAAAATAACCCAGCCCCGCGTCCTGAGCCCCTGGGGTGAGCAGTATTTGCGGAGGCCACACCCTGTTCAGCCAGCCTGAATAAGTACCTGCTGAACACCAGACACTGGGCTGCAGCGGGGCAACTACCTTGGGCTCCTGGGAGAAAGGATCCTGGGCTGATGGCTTCAGGTGGGAGAAGACAGGCCTTAAATAAATTTATTCCCCTTTCAAAGACATGTCCACCACCACCCCCCCCCCCCCCACCCCAGTAGCTTTCAAGGAGAAAATCTCTGTCTGGGGACTGCTTGGTCAATGGGACAGTGGCTTAGTCCAGCTGCCTGGGATTTACTATCCGAGCCACTTCCTTTCAATATTGCTTTCCTAATTACAGTTTCAATATTTGATATATACAAAAGATGGTGTGATACATAACCTATGAGTTGTAACATTGTTCCCATGATCAATTTGATGTTGCTTTATGACGCTGGCCCAATTCAGGGACATGCTGCGTTTTCCTTTTTAGAACCACATTTTAGCTATTACAACCAAGTTGATGTAAAAAGGCAGTGAACGTATATAGTAGCTCTGCTGGAACCAGGGTCCAAGGCCGAGGACAAGGGCTGCTTGAGGATTTGGGAACATCCTTTCCTTGGCTGTAAAAAGGTGACACCTAACACTAGGGTGCTGGGCAGGGCACACAGGAGGCGCTGAGGCGATGGGCTCCGACAGCAGAGCTGACCGGGGGGCTCCCTGGGGAAGCTGTCCTGTGGGCTGCAGCTAAGTAGGCTATGGAGGTGCAGAAATGAGGCCAGGCAACTGGGACCAGTGGTCAAAGGACTGGCGCTGCCTACAGAGTTCAGGGGTTTGAGCTGAGCTCAGATGGAGGCCTTGAGCTCCTGGGGAAGGTAGTGAGAAGTGAACTCTGGAGGTGCCAGGAGCCATGGAGGGGTGAGGTCAGGGGTGACCTTCTAGAAAGCTCCTGGAGTAAGGCTCAGCAGGAACCTGGACACTTGGGGCAGGGGGCTGGGCCTCCCTGGGGCACTGGGTCAGGGTGTTTGTTGCCCAGCCCAGCGGGACAAGGTCCAAGGTGTTCCTGAGTCTGCCTTGGCTTTGTGGGGCCAAGGCAGATGGCTTGTCCGGGATGGGACAAGGTGTCCCACTGGGCAGGTGCAGGAGAGAGAACCAGGGTGCGGGATGTGGAAAGTCGGAGTCTGCCAGTTGCGGCCCTTTTCTGGGCCTCAGTTTTCCCACTGGACATCCCTCAGTGACAGGCAAGCCTCCTGGAACCACCTGTAAACATCAGACAAAAACAGTCATGGGGTACTCGCGGGATGTGTTTGCCCTGGGAAGGGACAGACACATGTACTGGTGGGGACCCAGGGAGGCTGCCCAGGGATGGCTCTGGTCCCAGACAGAGTGAAGTGAGCGGAAGAGGGGAGGGGATGGTTAGGACAGCCGGGGACCCCAAGGCAGGGTGTGCAGTGTCGAGAAGACGGTGGGCAGGGGTGCTTGCAAAGGCCAGGCACGCACAGGGCGCACTGTTGGGTCCATGCAGGTGCGAGATTCAGGTGTGGCTGGATCCCGGCGTTCCAACATTTTTAGGATGTTGTGTTGGGGGTGGGGTTGCTCTCAAGCTAACTGTGCCCACAAGGGGGCAGGTACGGCCCCTCGACATATCTCTGTTTTATCCCACCAACCTAACAAGCCTAATGGGAAGAGGGTACAACTTCCACATTTGTTGTCATGTCCCAGGATTTCATGTCCTTGACCAGGTTGAGTCATATGTCCATCCCTGAACCAATCGCAGAGGCCACTTTGGGCAGGAGAAAATGGACATGGTACCTCTCCCCAAGTGCTCTGACCTGGTGGCCTTCATTCCTTGTCATCCTCAGGGAGCTGAGAACGTCTCCACCCTTGGGACCTGTGGTGGGCTGAACCCCCCAGAACATGGACCGAGTGACCAGATACCCCATCTTCAGCATCCCCCACTCACCAGGCAAGGCCGGCCTGGCCCTCAATGGGGACACCAGCTACACATTCCAGCTGGTGGATGTGGAGCCCTCGGCCAGCCGCTGGGGCCCAGACAAGTCTATAGTGCAGACAGCTAATCGCAAGGCCCGGCTGGAGGTGTTGAGGACAGGGGCACCTTGCAGCCTGTGCACCTTCCCCAGCCAGGAGTCCTTTCAGCCAGAGGACGATGAGGATGAGGGGAAGGCCTACTACCTAGACACAAGGCCTGCCCTGCCCAGGCAGCCACAGGACCTGGAGAAGGAGCGCTGGGCAGTCATCCAGGGCCAGGCGGTGAGGAAGAGTAGCACAGTGGCCACGCTCCACGGCACCCCTGACCATGGGGACCCCGGGACCCCTAGACGACCTCAATTCATGGCCCTGGAGGACAATGTGATCGACAGGGAGCAGATCGACTTCCTGGCAGCAAGGCAGCAGTTCCTGAGCCTGGAGCAGGCAAATGCGGGGGTCCCTCAGAACCCCCCAGCTAGGGCGGCCCCGGTCTGTGCCCCACCCAGGGTCAGCCAGATCCCCAAGACTTTAAACAAGCCACCCCTGGCCAATGGGTATGTTGCCTCAGTCAAGCCCCAGGTGAAGAAGGTGTTCATGCAAGAGAAGAGCGTCCGCGGTCTGTCCACTGGGTCTGGCGTCCAAGCTGTGGACGGCCCTGGTTCCCAGCCCCAAGCAGGATCACTGGAGGTCCCTAAGGAGACTCCCATTGAGCGGGAGATCCGATTGGCCCAAGAGCGCGAGGAAGCTCTGCGTGAGGAGAGGGGGCTGCAGCGGGCGGTAAGCCAGCAGGAGCTGGTGGAGATACCCACCCGGCCTCTGCTGACCAAGGTGAGCCTGACCACAGCCCCGCGGCGGGAGAGGGGGCGCCCGTCGCTCTATGTGCAGCGCGACATGGTACAGGAGACGCAGCGTGAGGAGGACCACCGGCGGGAGGGTCTGCAGACGGGCTGGGCGTCCACGCCCAACAGGGTTTGCGAGGGCTCTGAGCCGGGACTTAGGAGAGCACTCAGCTCAGACTCCATCCTTGGCCTGGCCCCAGACGCCAGTGCAGCCAACCCTGCTCCAGAGCTGAGGAAGGTGAACCGCATCCCGCCTGATGCCTACCAGCCTTACTTGAACTCCGGGACCCCCCAGCAAAATTTCTCAACCTTCCCTGCTTACGGCAAGCCTAGTGGTCTCTCTGCAGATGCAGCCAAGGCGGTGGCCTCACCCAAGGCTACAGGGTCTCAGAGGCATCTCTTGGAATCCTCTGGAAAACCCTCAGGCACAAAGCAGGAGTTCTGGAAGCCCCCCAGGGGACCTCCACCAGCCAGTGGGGGTGTCGTGCGATGGAAGTACTTCCGCCTGCGTCCCCTGAGGTTCAGGGTTCCGGATGTGCCCCAGAAGGCTGAGGTCCCCAGAATCTGGGGCTGGGAAGTGGCTGGGGCCCCCGTGTTGAGGCTACAAAGGTCCCAATCCTCTGAGCTGCTGGAGAAGGAGATGGAGGACGCCCTGAGGCGGGAGCGAGAGGTGGCCGAGGAGCGGCGCAACGCTCTCTTCCCGGAGCTCTTCGAGCAGCCAGACTGTGACCAAGACTCCAGGAGCTCCTCCCAGGCATCAGGTGAGGGGGTGTCCCAGGACCTGACTGCTTTGATCTGGGTCTCCAAGGTTAGAGCAAAGGAGGGAGAGGAAGAGGAGTTTGGGGGTGTCAGGAGGGGCTGAGGGTGGAGGGGCATCTGGGCGACCCTGTCTGTCCCCCGGTTGGCTGGTCTGTCTGCCTGTTGTTTTCTTAAGCTATAGATTTTCGAGAGAGATGTCAGCTTTGCCCTTGGGTTTTTTGCTTTATGGCTTTGAATGTCTTATTATTAGGCACATAAAAGCTTACAGATGGTTTATCTTCTTAGTCACTTGCTCCTCTTTGTCAACTTTAAATATCTCCTATGGCATTGTCATGTTTTTCACCTTGTATGGTTGGCCCATCCGTCTATCCACTTCCTCCTGACTGGTTATTTTGGTCACTGTATCAGTTTTGCTAATAAGCTGTCTGCTCTGTACGTCTGTCCATTCACCTGTCTTCTTAACGGGTCCCCTCTTTTGGCCAGATATTCAGTGCGTCTCCTGAGCCTTGGTCTGACCGATATTCTACCCTCAGGGGACTATGGCGCCCTCCCTGATGCTCCTTCCTTCCCCTTCCCCCACAGGCATCATGGATAGCTATTCAGTGTCCGAGTCACACTTCGTCACCCCGATCCACTTGCACTCGGGCCTGGTGTGGAAGGCAGAGGCCCCTGCCGAGGCTGGTCCTGGGCAGAGAAAGAAGAAGGAGCAGTGGGTGAGTCTAGAACACTGCCCATCCCCTCAGAGGCCTGGCTGAGGTCTGACACCCACTCCCCATCCCCAGTTAGAGCCTTAGGAAGGTGGAGCGAGATTTGCCGAGGGTCACATGGCCTGTGAGCTCTTGAGCCCAGGCCTGAATCCATACCCCGCATTTGTAACTGTGAGGCCATCCCCTCCCCGAGCTGGGTGTTGCGGACACCATGGAGAATAACACCAACTCCGGCCTCACCCAGCTGGCACTCACAGCCCAGCCTCATGGGTTGGGGCACAGAGTGGAGCCCAGTGACCCAAGTTCAAGTCTCAGTCCTGCCACTTGCTGGCTATGTGATGTTGGGCAAGGTTCCGCCCCTCTCTGGCCCTCACTCTCCGTCTCTGTGAAATGAGCGTGATATGACGACGAGCCGCCTCCAAGCCCTACCACAAGGCCTGGCCATGGGAGAAGCTCCGTCATTGCTGACTGTCTTTATTATGCTGAAGTTGACAAAGGAAAAATAACTGCAAAGGATAGGCTGAGGCTGCACGGAGGGGGAACAGCATGAGGGAACAGCCAGGTGGATGGCTGAGGTGGGCGATCGAGGGGCACTCAAGGGGGTCACGGTGGGCACGAAACACCTTTCCTCCTGCCTCAAGTGGTGGCTGAGTGGGCTCTGCACTGAGTTCCAGGTGGGCTCTGGGGCGGGGCGGGGCGGAAGGCCCCCGGGCTGACGTATGCTCCTTTCCTGTAGTACGCCGGCATCGACCCCATGGATCGCGTCAACTCGGAGGTGAGTGTGCTCCTGGCTTTTTCCTCCCCTGTCTGTGCCCCCTGCCCCATGGCACCAGGGCCATTGAAAGCCTTTATTTTGGATGTGAGGACTTCACTGGGTAGCTTCTCGATCAGTGGTGTCTGCCTGCAGTGGGTTTTGCTCTGATCTGCGTGTGACGCCTGCCTCGGGCGCAGACTGTGTAAAGTGGGTACAGTTACAGCTTTGTCAAATAATGAAGGTTTAGGGGCAGATTGGGTTCAAAGCAAGGGCATTTTCTTTGAGGGAAGGGTTCCCTGAGAGCATGCAGAAGGGCAGCCACCTCCATGGATGTGTGGAACATATTCGGGGCCGTCCGTGAGCTGAGCCCAAAATGCCAGCCCCAGGAATTCCCCTCGCCCTGCAACTCAGCACGAGTTAGCACATGAGTTGGCGCCATCACAGGAGCAGGAGGTTGGAAAGAGAGGAAGGGATGGTCCTGCTGTACCCCTGTCCTCAGCCTCTCCTATGAGTTGTAGTGAGAGAGGTGTTGGGGGAGGGTTAGTACCTTAATGGTCACTCTATGCCTCCTCTTGCAGGTCCTGGAAGCCACGCGGGTGACCCGCCACAAGAGCGCCAAGGCTGAACGCTGGGAAGCCGGTGTCTATGCCAGCGAGGACGAGGACTAAGCCTGGGGACGGGGGCACCCTCACCCTACAGGAACTGCCAAGACCAACGCCGAGCCCCTCCCCCACCTTAGGAAACAGATCCCCATCTAAATCTGCAATCCAAGAACCACAAACAAGGCGCTGACAGCCCTAAGAGTGGCTGTGCCTTCAGACTCCAGGGCTTGCTTTTCTGTTCTTATTTTCCTAGAGAAATTGTTCTGCTTTTTCTGGGTCTAAAGCTGGGGAAAACATGGGACCTCTGTGAATTCTTTCTGTTTCTGGGACTTGGTCAAATACTCTTGGGTCCAAGAAGGAAGGAGACTAATAGCTCCCCCGCCCCTACTCCAGTTGTATTCGTTCCCGCCAGTCTGAGGGCAGAGGCTGCTTGGAGGAAGGGGCGGGTCCGGGCACCTTGGGAAGCCGCAGGTCTGAAGGGAGAGACACTGGGCCTCCCTCTAAGTCCCCGCCTGAGAAGGGGCACATGCTCCACTCCAGCCCTGGGAAACCTTCCAGTCTGAGGAAGGAAATCTGAGCGCCCAATCTGAGGGCCTTCATGCTGCCCTGGAGTCTCCTCTGCGGCGCACCAGCAAAGCCCTGACATGATAGGGTCCCATGGGGACAGTACCTGACCCGGCAGAGAAAAGGGCTTGATTTGTGGGCCGAAAGGGGTCCTTCTGCTCCCTCCCCTTCCACAGACCGTTTGTTCATGTCCACCGTGAAATAAACCCTCCCCCCCGTTCTGGTTCATTTCTCTTGGTGACACTCATTGTGCTCCCATGGGGCCTTCACCCCATCCCAGGAGCTGCAAGCCCCAGGACAGGCTGCCAGGGCCGCACTCAGCATTCCCAGCACGCGGCATGCGGGAGGTGCTCAACCAGTGCCTGTGGAATGACCGACTCCACAAAGACATGGTGGGTGACAGGCTGGGGGCAGGGGAAGGGGTTAGTGTTTAATGGGGCCAGAGTGTCAGTTCGGGGATGTGAGAAAGTTCTGGAGCCAGATGGTGGGGTTGGCTGCACAGCATTGAGAATGTGCTTCATGCCACTGAGCTGTGTATTTAACACAGTTAAGATGGTAAATGTTATGTCATGTGTATCTTATCACAATAAAAATTTGAAGGCTTAAGAAGGCCCTTAGGAACCACCAGAGGAAGCTTTACAAAATTCGAAGTGCCCTAAAAATGCAACATCCTCTTTGAAATTCTTAACTTGTCCTGACTGGCGTGTCCTGATGAGTCCAGAAGTGTGACCATTGGAAAGGTCTTGTTTTTAAGATTTACTTTTCATTTTAATTCTTTTAATGAGGCAGCTCCCTTAGAAAGCAAAGATAGAATTCTATCCACCTGCCAGGCTGACTGCCCGGGAGGTATTTGGTGAATGGTTTAAATAAATTCTTAGAGGAATTCCCCAAGGAGGGCAGGTCTGTCTGGAAGGTGGAGGGACTTCAGGGCAGGTTCTCAGGGCGAAACGAAGCCAGGCAGCCAGTGGGCGGCACTTCTCAGATCTTCTATCTGCAGGTCCCTGGCTGCCCCGCATTCTTCCCTGTGAGGGGTGGATACTTTTCCCTGGTTTCCCCCCAGCTCAGTGTATTCTGATCCGGGACGGGAGGAGAGTTCTCTCCCAGGCCATTACAAAGGCTGAAATACGAACCCGACGTTCCATCTAAAATGCCAGAATCCTGCCTCCCTCCAGGTCTGCTTCTCAGCACTTTTCACAGTGTTCCCACCTTCTCCTCTCGCCTAATTGACTCCGGCAGGATCGTGGGGTGTACGGGGGGCCACGCCGGTGTGGTCAGCTTTCACTCTCAGGGGAGCCCCTCTCATGCATGTGGAGTCAGAGCTGCCGCTGGCTGGAGAGGACAGGGTTGTGAGAGAAAACCCAAGACACCCAGTTACCTGTGAATTTCAAGCTAATAAAAAATGACTTTAGAATAAGCATGTCCCATGCGATATTTGGGACATACATATGCTTAAAAAAATCATTCATTGTTTATCTCAAGTTCAAATGTAACTGGTTATCCTGTTTTGTTTTTAAATCTCACCCAAGGATATGTTTATTGATTTTAGGGAGAGAGGAAGAGAGAGAGCGCGCACATGCGTGCGCGCGCACGCACATGGGTTGATGCTCTAACCAGCTGAGCCATCCAGCCGGGGCTGTCCTCTATTTTTAATTACCAAATCTGGCTGCCCTTGATGGGGCGACTGCCAGACTGGCCAGCTCTTTCCCCTGAGGGACTTGTAGGCGCCCAGGAAGAGCAGGACAGGCAGGTCTCAAAACACATGCACTTCAGGTGCACGAATCACATGCCCTGCAGCTCCTCCAGCTGCATGAAGCACATGACCAGCATTGAGACGGGACAAGGGGGCTGCACAGGCACATGAGAGGCCTGCGCCACCGGGACTATTCCTGGAATAAGCTGCCAGATCGTGTGAACTTCAAAAGATCCTTACTCTCCCTCGGCCTCAGTTTCCTCATTTGTGGCACGAAATATCAATGTGGAGGTGTAGTATCATCTCCACAGGGCAGTGGTGAGGATTAACTGCTAAACAGAGTACTATACACCTGGCATACAGTAAATGCCAAATTAATATTGGTTCCGATTAACCATTTGTGATAGTTTGATTCCTATCTGTTGTCCCACCAGGTCAAGCGCCTGATTGTTGGGGGAAGAGTGTGTCTGTCTTGTCCCTGTCACATACACAGTGCCTAGACCAGTGCCCAGCAAACCATAGGCACTCAATAAATATCACAATCTCTCATCAGTTACTAAGCGTCTGGCGCTGCTCAAATCATCCAAACCCAGCTGTGACCAAGGAGCATGGTGTCCACACCACGGAGCTCATAGGGATTAAACAATGACATTTAGCCCTGACCAGTGTGGCTCAGTGGTTGGGTGTCATCCCACAAAGCGAAAGGTGACAGGTTTGATTCCCAGTCAGGGTACATGCGTGGGTTGCAGATTTGATCCCCAGTGGGGGCGCATATGAGAGGCAACTCATTAATGTTTCTCTCTCACACTGATATTTCTCTCCCTCTCTTTCTCTTTCTTTTACTTTCTCTCTCTAAAAAAAAAAAAAAGTAAATAAATAAAATCTTTTTAAAAAATAAATAAACAATGAGGCTTAAATGTGTAATGCAAAGGCTGGTGACACAACACGAGGCAATGAAAACCGTAAGGAGGAACAGTTTTCTGCTTACATAGCAAGTGACGAGGCAGCCTCCTGAGCCAGGGCAGTCAGGGGAGACCTCTTGGAGGAGGTGACCTTTGAGAAGAGGCCAGGATTAGGTGAAAGAATGAGCCAGAGGAACAGAACCAAGAAGCGGGCACAGCACACACCAAGGCCATGAGGCTGGACCGAGCTGGGCCTGTTGGGGGAAGAGCACAGAAATCTGTGTGGTTGGAGCAGAACGAGTGAGGAGGAGAGAGGGAGGAGGTAAAGGCAAAGAGATGATGGAGGAGGTAGATGGTGCAGGGTCCAGTGAGTACAGCAGGTCTTGTGCCTTTACTCCAAGACCTAGGAGCCATAGAGGGCAGGGGCGGAGCAGACTGGGTGCTCACACACGCCCTCTGGTGGCTTTGGGGAGGAGAGACAGGAGAGGCCAAGGCGGAGCTGGATACAGGGACCTGGAGGAGACCATGGAGCCACCACTCTTTTCCATTGCAGGTGGATGAGACATGTTTGTGGAGAAAAGGCAGGGAATAGATGGTCCCAGAGTCAGCCCCTCCTGGACGCATGGTCCTTGGGCTCCTGGCTTCCTTGCTGCCTCCCCAAATCCTTGCTGCATGCCCCCCCATGAGCAGTTCACTCAGGGCTGCTTGCTGCTCCCCAGATTTTTATAGAAGGCTTGCCTACTTAGGCCAGACCCACCCAGCATAATCTCCCTTTGGATCAACTCAGTGTCAGCTGAATTGGGAACTCTAATTACACCCGAAAAAGCCCTCCCCCTGCTAATTACACAGGGTTTGTGCACGGGAGCAGGACTCTTGGGGTCACCTCAGATTCTGGCCATTTTGGGAAGACCTAAAGTGGGCTTTACAGCAAGGGTTCTGGTGGGATGAATTGGGTCCATCTCTCATCCCCAGCTCCTATTCTTCAGGTTGTCTTAAGTTAACCAGCCATTTCCTGCTTCTGAGCCTCAATTTCTCTGCCAGTAACAGGGAGACAACGTCTTTGCCCACAGGACTGGCAAGCCAATGAAATGGGGTGTCTGAAAATCCCTCGCCCTTGAGGTCTCAGACTGGAGGCATTCAGAACACAGTCTCCTCTTAGCTGTCAGTGGTTTACTTTGTTTTCTTTAAAAGAATTTGCCAACAGTTAAAAAGCAGGACATTTTAAAAGTCTGGACTTCTCTCTTCTCTCTAGAAGTCCCCACACACTCTCTGGCCTGGCTGGATGGTGTTTCATGGAGCTGCACTGGGCCGGAGTGGAACAGTGTCCCCCTGTCAGACAGGCTCTGGGCCCCTGCGGTCCCTCCCAACCTCACTGCAGGTGGGCTCCGAGCAGGTCCATTAGGGAGAACACCTGTCACTATTTTACCACATTTTCCTCGTACAGGAGTAGCGAAGAAACTATAATTGGATAAAGATGAGTGATGGTCTTGTGAGAGCAGTTTCTTTAAAAATAAATCCTCCTTTGCCATCAACCTCTCAAATTCCAGGGGTCTTCCCAGCAGGGCCTAACGTGGGATTAAAAACTGGGCCTGAGATGCGAGGCTGTTCGCAGTCCCCTGAACCCTGCTTTGCAAAGGCAGTTTCTGCCTTGGGTTAAGCAGGCTTCCCACAAACTCACATCCACCCGGAACTTCAGAATGTTATGTCACTTGGAGACAGAGCCTTTGTGGGCATGAGAATAGACTAAGTAGGTGGCTACAGTGGTTTTCTGTGGCATGATGGGGTTGTTAGTGTTAGTGCCTGCCAAACGTTTGACGTGGAGTTCGTGTGTCCCTGGCTGGGTTTCTTGGCTCACTGGCTCAGGTGTCCATAATTTCTCTGTCCATTCCTTTCCCAGCTTTATTTACCCC